GCGGGGCCCCACCACTGACCATTTTGTCCTCTGTTACCGAGTTCCAACCCCGTGACCCTTTGGCCCCCAGAGATGGGGGACCTTCGAGGTGTGATCTTGCTGTTTTGCACCCAGAGTGTGTCAGCTGGGGTGGAATCCCGCAGCCCCATCAGATCAGATTGGGGTCTGTGTGTAGGTCCAGCCGCTGCCCGTAACGTTGGGCTTCTGCCGGGCCATGCGTGGCGGTTCCGGTTCTGGCTGCTGTGGGTGAGCATCTCCAGCTTCCTCAGCTCAGACGACGTTCTGTGCCTCCCAGCTGAGTGCCTGCACCCAGAGAAGCTGGCTGCCCGAGGAAAGGGGAGCGATGCGCCGCTCTCTCCCTTATTTACCAGCTTGAAAGTCACGAGTTGGTTCCTTCCAGTAAGGAAATCGGTGGATTTAGAGCATCTCTGTGGAAGCGTGGGTTCAAGCATGTTGTGTTTCCGTGCTTTGTGATTGTGGTGCCGTCGTCGCTCCAGTTTCCCACGTGGAGCAGCCCTTGTAGTCTGAGGCTGCCTTTCCCTCCGTCGCAACGTGGCTCAGCCTCATCTGTCACGTTTCCTGCTCGGGACCCCGAACCAGCTGCTAGTTCAGAGCCCGGTCCCCATGGTGAAGTGGTCAGGGAGACAGCGTGGCTCCTGGCCCCGGGGTCAGCTGCTGCTTCTGTCTTTTCCAGCAGGTAGAGGAGAGGAGCATGTGTGTGCAAGTGTGTCCGTGTGCGGGTGTGAGAGGGAGGGCGGGGCGGGGCCAGGAGGGAACAGGTGACGCTGCACGCGGGGCGGGGTGTTAACAGGGTGAATCCAGGTAGAGACAAAGGAGAATTCTTTGTACTGTTGTAATTCTTGCAGCTTTTCTGTAAGTTTGAAATTATATCCAAATGAAAAGTTAAGTGTGTGTGTACATGTATTTAATTACTTGTGTATTTTGAAGATCTACACTGATAATGTTTAAATGAAACGGTACAGAACGTGCCTTTGCTGGCAGTGTGTGCGTGTATGTGGGGGGCGGTCTACATTGGTTTAAATTCCATGAGAGCGTCCAGTGTTTGTGCTTGTCTGTACGAGCTTCTCCTGTCTGTCTTTTTCCAGGTGAATGAGAACTTTGCCATCGACCTGATAGCAGAGCAGCCTGTGAGCCAAGTTGGGAGTCGAGTGATATGGTGTGACGGTGCGGGGGGGGCCCTGGGCCACCCCAAAGTGTACATAAACCTGGTAATGTGCCATCCGTCCCCGGACCCCCGTCCTTCTGTCCTCACCCCACTGGCCTCACCCTCTCCCACTCGGCCTTGCCCACAGACCATACCACAGGGGCTGAACAAAGGGCGTGTCCAGGGCAGCTTTGCCTGTGACGTGTGTGCAACGCCCTTAGTGTCACCAGCACTGCTTTCCCTCAGACTTGTAGGCATCTGCCTTTCCCAGGGAACCATCGTGTTGGTGCCTGTGTGATCGTTTACACTGTTGATAACTACACGCACAGAGCCTTTGAGAAGGAGAACAGTACGCTGGGTGTTAGAGCAGAGAAGGGTGCCTCGGGATAAAGCTCAGATGCACGTGATGTTGCTGTTGCGACAGGGCAGGACCCACCGCTGCCCCTGCTGCTGGGTCCGGGCTGGACCCCACCCCTGAGGGCTGGGCCTCTGCTCCGCGCCCCACCCTCCAGTCCTTCCAGGCCCCTGCTCGAGGGCCAGGAGGGGGACGGGGACCGAGCCGTGTGTTCCAGGGCAGGGAGCCTGCAACCCCAGCGAGTCTGGGTGGAGCAGGCTGGACCCAGGGCCTCCGGCACAGCCACGTCCAGCGTCAGGCAGTGACCCCGGAGCTCCTTGGGCGCCCCTGGTTGGCTGTGTGTTTCCAGTGTCTGCTTTTAGTGTCTGAGGTCTACCTGTCTCTAGATTGATGTAGAATACGGAAATGGGAGATCTTTCCCTTTGAATTTTCCAGGACAAGGAAACAAAGACGGGGACGTGTGGCTACTGTGGCCTGCAGTTCCGGCAGTCCCACCACTAGGGCCGCGTGCGCAGCTCGGTGGCACGGACTCTGTCTCTAGTGCCGAATAAAGGGTGTTGTTCTCCAGGATGCCGCGCACAGCTGTTTCTCTCACACAGGTTCACTTAGGACTGTGGCTTAAGGTGACGTCCCCTCCTGGGCCCCCGCCACATGCTCCTTCCACCCGCGGGACCACAGCGGGGGCTGGAAGAATCCGGGGGCCGGGGGCCGGGGGCAGGGGGGACGTGGCTGCTCAGGGGGCTCGGGCTCCGGCCCAGCTCCACCCCCGTCACTCATCTGCTGTCACTCTTTCTTTCTGTCCATCTGGTCCTCAGGCTCTGTCCAGTGTCTTAAATCCCAAGAAGTTAAGTACCTATTTGAAGGTGTTAACAGTCACATGTGGTCCAAATCAAGTACAATTTGTGTATTTAAAACAGTAGTGATTACAATGTATCATAACACAAAAATAAAAATGAATATTATACGGGAAGAGAATGGAAGCTTGGTGGGGTGATGGGAATTCCAGGAGGAAAAAGCGATGCACGGCGGGGCGCGGGGAAGCGGCATCTACACCAGAGAAGATTCCTGAGCTGAGGGAGAACCCACAGATCACAGGGCACACCAGGTGCTCAGCAAAACTGGTGAGAAAAGACACAACTGGGTGCATTCTGATTATAAAAACTAAGTTGATGAAACTCTAAACTTTATGGAGTCTAGAGAGGACAAGACCGTTTATGCTTCCGGATGAAAGGAGAGATGACCATAGTGGCAGAGTTACCAGAAGGCCGTCCGGCATCTCACCTTCAACCCTGGAAGCTGGAGGTGGTAAGTGGCGCTAACAGTCAGGAATCCTGCGCGTGACCAACGTGACATACACTGGCAGAGGAGCAGTGGATGTGGAGAACTCAGGGAGCCACGCCTGGGCCCCAGCCAGCCCACGGCAGGGGAGGGGGGCGCCCCTCGGCCTGAGCCGGCTGACACGGAGGGGGTGCGGCCCTGAGCGCAGGGCGTGCTCACCGAGGCTCTCGTGGAGCCGGAGCTGCAGGCCCAAGACCTCAGGTAGTGGACTTGGGGGCTGGCTGTGCAGAGCAGGTGTGCGAGGTGGGGGCAGGGCGGGAAGAGAAGGAGGTCGGGGGTCCTGGGGGTCCCGCGGGTGGGGCGGGTGGGGAGGGAAGGAGTGTCCAGGTCTCCGCTGGCTTCTGGAAGTGTGCCACATCTGCTCACGAGGAGCGGGGGCGCCGTGCGTCAGAGGCGTGTTGAAGTCTCACACCCACCGGGGGTCTGTGCGCCTCCCAGTGTTCTCCGGCTCGGTGCCCTGTTTAAGGAGCTGCATTTGAGGCTCTGCTGTTAGTTTCTGCGGCTCGCCTGTTCACTGTCCCTAACAAGACATCCGCCTTTGAGTCTGCTCTGCCTGTGCCTCATGGGGCCACACCTGCTTCGTTTGCTTAGTATTTGCACGTTAATTTTCTTAGTCCTTTTTTCTTCACCGTTAATGTGTCTTTATGTTTTTATTGTATCTCCAAATATTATGTCTCCAATATACTCTCCAATATACAGTATATTGGTGCTTGGTATATTGTATACCAAATATACTTAGATTTCTTACCCAGTTTAAAGTCCTTCATCTCCTAATTGGACATTTTAGTCCATTTCTACTTAGTGTAACAGCTGGCGTCTTTAGGTTTAAATCCACCGTCTCATTCTGTCCCATTTGTCCCAGCTCTCCCATGCTTCCCTTTCTCCTTTACATGAAAGGATTTATTTTTTCATTCCCTTTTCCTCTAATATGGTACAAGTTGATTTTTCTTCAAATCAAAAAAGTCATTTGAAAACTGGGGAATATAATGGCAGATCATAAGATTCAAAAAATTCCTAAGAAACCAAAATACAGGTCAGTGTGAAAGACACCCAATTTTGAGGGAAAACGGGAAAAGGCATAACAGACACTCTGTAAAAGAAATAACAGAGGGCCAGTGCACGTGCGTGTAGAGACAGACCCCGGATACCTGATACAGGGCCAGACCCAGTGGGCTTGGCTGCATGTGCCCAGGGGAGCTGAGCTGTGCACCAGAATGTGAAGATCCTAAGGCAGGCTCCCCAACCCCTGGGCCACAGACCGGTACGGGTCCATGGGCTTTTAGGAACCGGGCCGCACAGCAGGAGGTGAGCAGCAGCCAAGTGAAGCTTCCTCTGTACTTACAGCCGCTCCCCGTTGCTTGCATTACTGCCTGAGCTCCACCTCCTGTGAGGCTGACGGCGTTAGATTCTCGTAGGAACGCGAACCCTCCTGTGAACTGCACACGCGAGGGATCTAGGCTGCACGATTCTTAGGAGAATCTAATTCCTGATGATCTGAGGCGGAGCTGGGCCGGTGATGCTAGAGCTGGGGAGCGGCCGCAAATACAGATTCTCATTAGCAGAGAGGGGTGACTGCACAGAGACCATAATCAACTGCTTGCAGACTCATCAAAACCCTATCAGTGAGTGGCAAATGAAAAATCTCAGGGCTCCCACTGATCCTGCATTATGATGAGCTGTATAATTATTTCACTGTGTATTACAATGTAGTAATAATAGAAATAAAGTACACTATTAATGTAATGCGCTTGAGTCATCTCAAAACCATCCCCCCCCCCCCACGCCCGGGGACAAATTGTCTTCCATGAACCCGGTCCCTGGTGCA